ATACTCTAGCGATGTGAATATTTACCCCAAATCTTAGAAAATATTTAGAGATACACCAGACTATCTCGTACCACAAACCACAATAAGAAATTAGTTATTGAAACAGCGGGCGGTTGGGATAGATATTAGTCCGGGCGCATAAACCGAAATTTGAAAAGGATTTTTACACGAGTCGTTACCAATTTAATGGGCTCCACTGTACATCTTCCTTTAGGCGTGATGGATGTTCGATTTGAAATTTCATCCTGGCAAGTTAATTATTGCTAATCAAATTAAAACAAGATACTGAGACTACGCACCAATCACACGAATACTGGATCAGTAAAAAAATCAATAATATGAAAACTGTCCTATTTGTTGAACTCCCCCATGATGGACTTCGTCGAGTGCTATACAATGTGCCCAAGATAAGGATGTCTATTATGGGGTGAAAATGATGATGATTTCTACGAAACGAACGTCATATGGAAAATCTCTCAACGCTGTTTTGTAGAGCTCAAAAAGTGGCAATGAGAAAGTGTTTCCTGTTTTTCTATATCACTTTGAATAATGTAAGAAAAAAATAAAAAATATCCTTATTTTGGACACAGTGTATATTGTCCTGTTACATGACAATATTCATGCTCAATTTTCCTATATTGATGTTTTTCCTCTATAATTAACTGATTAATTTTTTATGATTGATTTTCTCTCGTCTCTGTGAATAAATCTATAAATAAAAATATTACTATTTGATGTTTCACCTACAGTCAGCTCAACTTGTAGGTTCGGGGATTACTAGTAAAAAAACATTCATCAAATCCCTGAAGTCAAAAAGACCTGTCTACACTCCATTTTTGGGGTATTGTGTATTTATTTAAACCGAAGTCTGTGGTTATAAAAAAGAAATGAAGATGATGGTTATGATGGGGCCCAGTCGAAAGTTTTGATTTGAAAACTGAAACTGTCATCTTGTATAGATGGGAACTTGATGCAATGAAAACTGAAAGTTGCACAGCTGAAGAGAACACATTAAAAAGCCAATTTCTTGAAGGAAACTACTACTACTACTACTACTATTCAAGGACCAAATTACGTATTCAACTGTTTGAATATCTCACAGTTTCCGAGACCTCGATTAATACCAAGCTGAAAAATCTTGAATATTATAACCATTCTTGAACATCGCAAAGGGTCTGCATGGGAAGTTCAAATAATAAATATAATGTTAGTGTGACTATTGAAACACGAAAGATTTCAGTTAATATCTATAGCTCCAGACATGAAAAGGTATTAAATACAACTGTGTCACTTCTGCTAGCTGACTAACGTCTCTTGATATCTTCAAATACTACAGGATGGTTCAAGTAAATTGCTTCTATGAATGATCATTAATAATAGCTGGTAATAATTATAGTAATGATAATAGTACTAATACTATTGATTTGAAACTAAAAATTGATCAGGGATCACCCATAACGATTTGACTGTTAACAATAAGTAAAAAATCAATATCAGATGGTTCAGTTTTCAAAATTGATGAGAAGACCTTTGGTAAATTATCAATTTCGATTTGCGATATATTTCCATCAAATAATATAGTCGTATTCATTGTTGTTATGTCTGCATACAAAAATATTCCATGTGCCTCATCCAGAATCAAAATATTTTGAAAAAAAAATTAGCTATCGAATTGTATCATCTGAAAAAGACTGTCACAATTAACATAAAAAAATATGTTTTACAGATGTTTTTATGTTTTACAGAGTGCTAACCAGAGATGGTTTGCACCAAAATGTTACTGCATTTAAAAATTTCCGTATCAGAGAGCCTAAAAGAAAAATTCATTCGCTTGTCAGTGAGACTTTGTTTTGAAGAATGTTTGTTGAAGAGAAATATAGGTACGTTAAGAAAATATCAAATCTTCACTTATCTTTGGACGTTTCGGCAACGAACCTGCTCCTGTTTTCAACATGAAAATGGAAAATATTTTTCTCGCAAATTAATTGACATTGAATATACCATTTTCATTGTGAATTCCATGTTTTATCTATATCCACTGAATAAGTAGCAATGTTGAAAACGGGGGCAGATGCGTTCCCGAAACGTCCAAAGATGAGTGAAAATTTTATATTTTTCCTTTATTTATTTCTCTTCTCCAAACATTTTTCAAAACAAAGTGTCACTGACAAGCGAATGATTTTTCTATTATGCTCTCTGATAGGAACATTTTTAAATGCAGTGACATTTTGGGGCAAACCATCTGGTTTGTCCTCACTACATGTATATTGAAATAATACTCATATTTTCATTTTATTGAAAAGAGAGAAAATCCCAAAAAATCTGAAATAATGTATATACTACCTCCTCGATTAACCTACATACAATATTTATTTCAATATTCATTGAATAGGTACATGTTTATTCGATCAAAATCCATTAGAATAAAACCCATTTCAAAATATTAATATACGGTGACGAGTCAATGGGATAAAACAGTGTCTTGGCGAAAAAGGGTGCAATATTGCAACAGCAGCTTCTATTAACAAATATAGAGAAATAGTTAATTCAAACATTTGGTATCCAAAGGAGTATTCTTCTTGAAAGTGGGCCCCTGAAGATGGTATTTCCCGAATATTTTCGAATCACTTTTTGATGAAAAGTTATGATTCGTACAGATGCTTATTATTCCTTATACAATAGAGAACACATTATTTCAGGAAGTAAGGCTGGTGAAGAGTAATTCCTACTCATATACAATTTGATAATAACAAGTAGTTACATTGTTAGAATCACATGGATACGAAGTGTTTTATTATAATTTTGTTCAGTTGCAAATGTTATGTAAAGAAATATATTTGTCACGAACGTGTGTCAGTATTTCAAATCATATAAAAATCAGTTGAAAACCTACTCTTCCGCATCAGAAGCTGAGCGTTGATAAATCTCTCACATTAGTCTTTCCAGTTCTCGGAGAAAGCACTATGGAGCAAAACCAGCCTAGTGAAAGTAACATTCAGTGTGTTGATTAACATAGGAGAACTATGTGCAATTTAGGAGTCCCCCAAGAAGATTAGCAGGAACGTATAGTCCAAAATTCAGATTTAATTTTCCTTCCAAGAGTACATGTGCAAATAATATATAACAGCAAGGTAAGAGAGAACAACAGAGTCCGAGTTGATCTTAGTTGACGATAATTAAAAAGAGTCTGAAATACACACAATATCACACTTGAATTTTGAACTTATGATTCTCAAATAATAGCATAAGCTTGATGACAAAGAAGCGGAAGAGAAATTGAAAGAAACTGGAGTAAAGCGAGCAAATTTAATGAATGAAATGAAATGAAGATTCAAAGGAAGATATCAGAAAATGCACGAGATGAAAGTGATAGTGAATATAATGAATCTTTCCATTCTGATATTTCGTATTCCCATTCACGAGTGATGAATAACTGGGTAAAAAAGTGTATTAGTAATGAACCTGATTACCCTTCAAAGTATTTTCCTGAAAATGTTGAAGTAAAAAACGCTACCAACCTAGTTCCTTCGCTAGTGTAAGCATGTGACGATTCATCACGCTTTTTGGAATTGGAAGAAAAAATTTATCAACGCTCTGCTTATTCTGATGCGGTAAAGTAAGTTTTCAAATCTCTCATCACTGGGTTAAAAGTACTTACTACGTATGTTGTTTTTTGTCATTTTACTCATATACAGTGCGCATCATAAGTGTTACCCCCCTATCTAACTCGTTACGGGACCCTTGTTAGTAAAATCGCCGACACCCGTCAATTTTTTATTTCTACAGTGTACATTTTCGTAGGAATAGTTCACTCCTAATTTCATTACTCACTGGAGGGGTGCAACCCTGTCAAAAAATTTAAATAGCATGGGGTGGTGAGTGAAAGCTCATTTGAAATTTCAATTTCTTTGCACGGTTGAATAGAGATTGAAACCCCCTTTCAAATGAGTTATCACTAACCACCCCGTGCTATTTGAATTTTTTGACAGGGTTGCTCCACTCCAGTAAGGGATGAAATTAGGAGTGAACTATTCCTATGAAAATGTACACTGTAGAAATCAAGAGTCCCGTGTCGAGTTAGATAGGGGGGGTAACACTTATGATGCGTACTGTATGTATATGACATCTCAGCTTATCACAAATGAAGGCAATAATTTTTGTATCAAATTCATCTAAAATCCGCAATCCTCCTTATTTTAAAAGCCCCTGAATGAAATTATATCTTGTTCTGTCTATTGGGCATCAAAAGTTAATTACCTGCATAATAAATCATCTCATTGCAAGCGTTTCTGAAATATTTAGAGAATGTCATCTCCAGGGGGTCCCATTTTAGTGCTTCTAGGCAGCATTTTTTCTACCCACAGTGTCGATATTTTTGAAACCAGGGATATTTCTAAAAATTCTCGGGCAATATTAATCTGACCAAAAACACTTTCCTATTATCTCAATGAGTATACCACGAAAATATTTAACTGATCATGTATGCCGTACTCATTGAGCATGTGGAAGAGTTTTTCAGTCATTTGGGAAAAATTTCAAATTAAGTCAATTTTTTGTATTCAAAATAGTGGAAATATGCTTACAGAAAAAATAGTAGAAAAAGTGACTGAAGATTACAGCAACACAGGGTTTGATAATATGACTTTCCAAATAATTTTGTATGATGATCGGAATGGTTTGACCTGCACAATAATATATGACATTGTATCTATGCACAAACAGATCTCCAATCATGTAGGTGCAAGAACATTCAAGTGGATGCAAAAAATCAATGAATAAAGGAACTTCAGAAATAATTTCAGTTTTAACGCCCTATAGCAGCTAAACGGGAGTATTTTGGTATATCCTACTAATCCTGAGCTCGTAGAAATAGAAAAAAGTCATTCCAGTATCGACGAATATTTGTCTTCCTAACTTATCTTAACATACAGCTTTTCATAGCAAGTAACTTTATAAACATGGGAAATTCGACAATTCTCCAATGAGTAATGATTTCTTAGGCGTGATGCCCAGACGACGGAGAATCCAAAGTCAACCACATCTGGAGGGACCAACAGAGCCAACGGTGGTGTCACCTTTGCTGCCATCCACATCGCAGATTAGCTATGATGCTATAGTGCCTGCATACACCTAACCACAATTTCATTCAACTAATTCTAAAAAATATTTTAGTGAATATGTCATGGTAATGACACAAATGTATTGTGATATTCTCTCCAAGTGTGTGCGTGCGTTTATCGTCCGAGATGCACAGGGTTCAGTTATATTAATTATTTTAACTAAACCCTGTGTGGTATTGATAGAATATTCATTAAGTAGTTAATATTCAACCAAAGTATTTAGGTAAAGGTATAAATGTCTGCTTAGAGGTTGTTTTCGGTTATGTTATCCTCAAATATTTCTCATAACTAGTCTACATTTCTTTTTTTGTGTCCATGAATTGTGTCGTTTGAGCAAATATATTTTTATAATCAGTTCTTGAAATATTTCTAATTATCTAGGGGCTGGTTAACTTGACGAGGAATCACCTCTCTCAACTCATCAGCTACATTACCATGGATATAAACAAATTTAATACGAATATTTCATCATTTGTCGACTGCTTCATGCGATCGGCGCTAGATGTTGAGTGCAGTTATATCATACCTAAATTTTTGAATTAAGAATTGATTTGACAACTGCAGCTTTTATGTTGTTTCTTCAATATTTTGATTGCAGACTCTGATGTAATCTTCTGAAATGGTTGAGGTGAGTTGAGCTGAATCACTGACATATCATCAGAATGTTAAGATAAATAGAAAGGTGTCATCACCATAATGAGTTCGACTAGTTGGAGTGGGGTAAATAGATTAACTGGTTTCCTATATTTATTATTTTTGTGTATGATAACCAAACTTCTAGAATAGTCCTTTTGGAGAGATTGGCAGTTCTACTTATTCACATCAGTCTCGTTACCTCCATGGAATTTTTTTGTTCATTAGATCAATCAAACTCATTTTGTCCTTATTTGAATCGTACATACAACAATTAATTATTCAATGTTGTTCTAAGTACTAAGTAAGATAATCTTCAAGTAAAAATAGTGTGTCAAGCGTATGTTCATTTATATATTAAAATTATTCGTATATTATTCTTTTTGCTTGTGCAGTATTGTGATAAATATCCTTATTGAATTGTCAGTAAAAAAATTAATGTCTAATACTACTCAGAACTCACAGCCAAAGCAACTATGTATTTATCTGTAAAAAATATTTTATATAAATGACATTGAAGTACCTACTTATCATATTCGATGAAATTCGTCATTTCTGATGAACCTTATTATTTGTTTCTTGACAAAATTATTTCAATATCTTTCCAAGGTAGGTATCTACACTTACTAGTATTAATTATGTTATGTCATCTGAAATATGTATGTGAAAACCATTTGAACAATTGACCATATGGATTAGCTATGGATTGCTTTTGTTCTGCTCGAGAGTTCTCAGGTTGGCAACAATCTGAATTTGTCATTAGCATTAATGTCATCACTGTTGATTGTCATTATGAGGAAATTCGAATTAATAGCAAAAATATTTTTACTTTGTATTGTTAACTCATAACCTATAACCTATTTACATTATTTACAATATTGCAGTTGTTCAACTTATAGAATTGATGAAATAATATTCCCGAAAAAGTGCAGAAGCATTTGAATTTCCCGGTATCATCCACAATAATGACAAATTGTTGCCAGCCAAAGAACGCACAAAAATACAACCAATAGCCATTACTTATGGTGAATTGTTCATCAACTTCCATTATAGATCTCCGAAGTCTTGATTTTTATTTAGGAAATGAAGTGTTACCATGAATTGGATATTTATTAATAAAACATTGTTGAAGTATTGTGATGAATGTCAAATATGGAATTCATGTTATATTCAGTATTGAATTGAATACAGTGACGGTCAGAAAGTTTTCACCATATGGACATGTTGAAAATAATTTTTCAGGAAAATTATTCTGTTGATATCACCTATTAAAAAACTTCAGAAAATGTGGGTGAGATTATCGCTGCTATTTCGATAAACAGGGTAGGAATGAACATATTTGTTCGAAATCCAATACTTATTATCAAATTCAGATTAAAAATATTTGGACAATCACAAAAAATGAAATCAATAAAACCGCAGTTGACAAACTTTAGTCAACTTCAAATCATGAACATCTGATATATTGATATTGTTCAAAGATGCAATTGCCACCCTATAATAAAATCAGTCTTTCAACTTTAATAAATCGAAAAAATGTCGAGATTTTGATCTTGATCGGTTTTCTGGCACTGTTGTTTTTTTTTATATTGTACAGCTACTCAAGTTGGTCACGTGGGAAATTTGTTTATTATTGATTTTACGAAAAAGTTATTCTTCATAAAGAGTTAACCGAAAATGCAAATATCTAATATCAAATTTTTTCAGTCGTATACGAGGTATGTCAAAATATATTAATTTTGCTAAAATGTAAAGTGCCTCAATTTTTGACATTATCGAAAATTCAAAAAAGTTCACTAGGATTGAATACGTTCAAAAATCTAAATACATCTATCTTCGATGAAAATTAGGTTTTACTATTGCTTACCATTTCTGATCGATTTTTATGGTGAACTTTTTTTTTATCAGTTTTTCGGTCATAAGTCATACTTCATGAAATGCGCTACAATGCCTAAAAACAAAAATACAAATATCATGATTTAAAATCAGTTGTGTCAAAAATTTTTAAATAAATTGTTAACAGTAATAAAACCTAAAGTTCTTTGTAGACAGATGTAATTAGATATTAACATCAATTAGAACGTAGTTATTAATTCGAGTAAACTTTTTCCAATAACAATTTTCGATATTGTCGAAAATAAAGGTATTTTACTGTTGAGCACAATTAATGTTGTTTTACATACCTCGTATATAATTGGAAAAATTGCATTTTCGGTTTTAGACCATGCAAGATTTTTTATTCGTAAAATTAATAATAAAAAAGTTTCCCATATGTAGCAAACTTAAGTAGATAGTCAAGTTGTATGTTTGGCACAATAAATTTAGTTTTTGGTCCATTAGAATGTAGTTAATTTCAGTTTCTTTTCTATTCATTAGGATCTTCATGTTGATTATTCATCTTACTGAAACAAGTTCATGATAGATAACAAGCTTATTGCATTTATATCATTTACAGGGTGTTTATTTTGAAAGGTGTGATAAATTTGAAGAATATATTTCTAAAGAACTTGCTGTGTTTGGCACTGTTCATTTTTGCTTAATTTTTATTCACATTAACAATATTTCCACTGAGTTAGAGTGCCTCGAACATCTCATATCACGACCTTTGTAGAGTGTGGACACACTTAACATGATATCTTAGGTAATCTTTCATTGAACGAGTGCAGACATACTAGAGAGTTGAAGTGTTGCCATGAACGTTAACGTAAACGTAGAAATTGACAGCTACGCATGCGCATTCTTCAATTCTTCACGTTCGCGTTGGTAGTGGGCTTGCAGGTGTACGTTATCTCACGTACTTTCACGTATACCTTAAATATCAACGTATGGTTACCAAACGTCAAAATTATTGAGTTCGGGGTCCCCAAAGAGTTTTGCATCAAGGAGTACTCTCATTTTAACAAGAATAAATGTTCGGATCTAATCACACAACCAAAAATGACCAAAACAAACCGAAAACAAATTGTATTATTACATTACGATGACAGTGACGAACAAAGTGACGACTTCAGCTCAATTTAACGACAATACGTAAACGTTATTTTTCTTACGTTAACGTCCACGTGGAGGTCTACGTACAGTGATTACTTCAACTCTCTATTATTATTTGAAACCCTGACAGTTGCCTAACACCAAAGGAGCATCAAGCTCAATTTGTAGTTATATCAATATTATTCCATGAAATGAATATTGGAATCTGAAACGTTGAAGAATACTTGAAATGTCTTATCCTCTTTGGATAACTCATATGGTAACCATAATTCCTTAAAAAAATTTGCAATCCGTTACCGAACAAGACATATTCGAAAACATTTTCGCGGAGACGCCTATTCAATTTCCAGAAGTGACGTTTTAAATCTGAGAATGACGACAATTCGAAAATGTCAGTATGTTTGAGGCACTCTACAGTGAGTAAATACTACATTCTCAATAGAATGGCTTATCTATGTTGAAATAACTTTCACAGGTTTCGCATTTTTCTATTAACATTCCACAAAAATTTATATTTCTGTCCGATAATGTTATTTGTGTATATATTTGAAATTATTTTGTAGCTTCAAATTTTGTCGAAATATATGTATTTTTTATGAAAGTTATCTTGTTATTTGTGCAAAAGAGAATTTCAGGATAATTATTATGTAAGTAGGGTGAACGAAAGTGAGCTTACGATTTGGTGTCGTTTCATATGTTGTTTCCCCGAACCAAAATTTAGAAACATTTTACTGTAATAAAGACTCAGTCGGCTGTTCAACCAGCACTGTTAAATGGTGATGGCAATTATCAGGAAATTTCCTAAATGAGAATGAACCTGATCTTAACATTCATAACTCCCAAAAACCGTTCATTGAATTAAGAGACAACTTGAAGAGTGTAGTTTCAGTTCTACAAGGGGTACACATGCATTGTTTTGAATGGGTTTGGTTTTCCAACTATGAAATTGAGAATCTATTCCCATCGATGTCTGGTTAAGAATCTTTAAAGGATTTTTTTTGCTGTTGCAATGTCTAGTTATATCAGCAATCGTTTATGCATCTATGACTTTCAGATGAATGTTTCTTGTAGGTTGTATTTTCAGTGTCTGATGAACCTATTCCAATGAAAATTGCAGAATTATTTTCTTACTTACGAGGCTCGATTTTGATGGTCAAGTTTCGGAAAGTTCAAGCAAAATTTTCTCGATTTTTTTTTCAATTGTAACACCCAGTCTATTATATCAAGAAACACCTCTTCTGTTGGTCTTTAACTCACAGCCTTTTTGAATCTATCTCAACGGGCGCTGTCAAACATGCAATTTTCTCTCAAAACTTTCCTTTTTGTTCGTGGAACATCGTGCGTACCTACGGAGGATAGGGAGAGGAGGTAGGTGTTGAATTTTTTTGGAACTTTTGGGGGTTATAAGTTCTTGGGATTACTTCCATTGGCAAAGAATTCCGTTCTACAAACGAAGGATATTTTTCAAGGTTAGCGACGAAGGGATGTGCTGACTGGGGCCGTCGAGTTCGTGTGACTGGTATTGCTAGTGATGGAATTATAGCAGAGACTTCCGAGGAACATTTCTCGTGAAAGTATCCATAGAAAATTAGAAAGGTCCATAAAGACCCATTACAAAATGAAAGCATAAAAAACTAATTTGCAACATTAAAAGAATTTGTATTTCATTGTGTTTGATACAAGAAGTGTCGCTCCACAGATTCTGCAACAAAAAATAGGTTAGGGGAATCCTTTGATATTCTCTAACTTATTCATGTTCTGCATACATTTTTGGTCAAATAATAGCTATTTATATATCAAGGGAGGAAAGGTATCCATTTACTCCCGCGTGTGAAGTTTGATGCACAACGCGTAGCGTATAGTTGATTTCAATCGGCTCATTTCGGTCTCTAGGTCACCCTGTAGAATTTGTGGTACATTGTTCTGGGGCACCTTGTTTTCTCCAATTGTACTTTTTTGATTTGCAGCTTCTTCTTGGGGTTTGGATTCAGTTTCATAAAGAATTTCAAGGAATTAGTAGAAAAACGTTTCGCCCTTGGCCATGGGCTTTGTCAATTTATTAATATTTAGTTAATCTGTAAATAATGGTTTTCATTGTGGAACGATAGTGATGAGATCTAAATCAACGTATCACGTATCTCTCTTTTTTTGATTTAGATCTCATCACTATCGTTCCACAATGTAAACCATTCTCAATGAAAATCATTATTTACAGATTAAATCAAAAATGTACTTAGATGCAAATCAAAAATGTACTTATTTTGTTTTTTGTTCTTGTTATTTTATTCAGATATTTGATGTTTCATCTTTTATATGTTTACACTTCAGTGATTGAGGATAATAGTTATCAATTATACAAGGGAAAAAGCAGTAGATTTTTTTGTCGGTTTCTTGTTTTGTCCTCGGCTACGCGTCGGGAACCTTTTTCTTCTGTGACAGGAATAAGGACGAATCAATATTGAGAAGATATTACATTAAACAGGGTGATTCACATAAGAACCGACATAGAGCAGGGGCATGTAGGGGGTCCCAAAATACGGCAATTTAACGCAACTTACCTCTATACCAAGTTGCTTCCCTAAGGAGTTATAGGCTTTGAAAGTGAAGTTTTTTTTTTTTGGCATTCGGACATGGTCCATACAGCCAGTCACAGTGAAAGTGAAGTTATAAATTTTGAAAAAAATCAATATCTCCGTTATTCTTGAACTTAGAGCAACCAAATTTGGTACACTTTGTTACTTGACAGTACCTAGAGTATAATTGAAATTTGTTAAGGGGGTATACCGGGTGGCGCACCATTAATATTCAACAGAATTTTGTAAACTCTTGATGGATTTTAAGAATCTTCGCTTTGTTTTGTGGGCAATTCAATTCTAAAACTTCGCTTACTCTAGTAATTTTTCGAAAAACCTCATCATTTTCATCAAAAACTGGAATAACTGAAAACGCGCATTCTAGGAGTGTTATTCAAAATCATCGAAAATTCAAAAGTTGGCTATGAAAATAAACGTCAAACAAGAAAGTAGGTTATTTAATGTGATCAGTAGGAATTCGCTGGAAAATTATTATTTAGATACGTATAACAAAAAACGTAAAAGTAAGTACAGATACTGAAATGTGAAAAACTGGGATTAACAACTAATCAAAATAAACACAAAAAACTTAAACAACAACCAGAACAAACAATTGTTTATCGATAAATTAATGAAATTGTTCAAAATGATCGCCGTTTTCTCTTACGCATAAATTTATTCCTCTTCGAAAATTAAAATCCACCCTATCTAATAACTGTTGATTATTCCTAATAGATGTGCATTTATGAATAATGCGATTCCATAATTCTTCTTGAGACGCAACGGGCGAAGAATACACAAATTCTTTCAACGTTCCCCACAGAAAGAAGTCACATTTGTTCAGGTCAGGTGATCTTGGGGGCCAACGTTGTGGGCAATTATTTCCTCTTCCTATCCATGCATAAACCAATGTTGCAACCTCAGTTGTAAAATTACCTCGTCGAGTAGATACAGGAGGGTGTTTTGTAGAAATTCTAATAATTTTCACCATTCAGCCTATTCGATAAAACCACAGGACCAATTAAATATCGATCAATAATTCCCATCCAAACATTCATTTTGAATTCGCGTTGGAAATGCCGAGGAGTTATTGCATGTGGGTTTACGTCAGAATACTCATGATAGTTATGGAGATTTGTGATACCTCTGCGAGTGAAAGTCGCCTCATCCGTAAAAAGAATTTTCTTTTGGAAGTTATTATCTTGGTGTAGAATAAACTGACAAAAATTGACACGTTGAACCAAATCTCCGGGTAAAAGTTCTTGGACTTTTTGTACATGATAAGGGTGTAGTAGATTGCGACGGATAACTCGATGCACAGAACTCTACGATATACCAATTTGTCGAGATAAATTCCTAGTACTAATATGTGGATCATCTTCAATAGCATTTAAAATGGCTACTTCAACTTGCGGCCTGAGTGCGCCAGCACGTTCTCGAGTATTATTAAAAAACTTGCCCGTTTCTCTAGCTCGTCTTTCAACATTAGAAAATGTTTCTCTATGGGGAATGATACGGTTAGGAAATCTTCTACGATATTCTTCTACAGTACTTCTACAGTTTCCTTCACAAAAACCTAGCACTAACAGCATGTCAACTTGCTCGTTAAAAGAAAACTTCTAATGATCACATTGAATGACCTACTTTCTTGTTTGACGTTTATTTTTATAGCCAACTTTTTCGATGATTTTAAAAAACACTCCTAGAATGCGCGTTTTCAGTTATTCGAGTTTTTGATGAAAATGATGAAGTTTTTCGAAAAAATACTAGAGTAAGAAAAGTTTTAGAATTGAATTGCCCACAAAACAAAGCAAACATTTTCAAAATCCATCAAGGGTTAACAAAATTCTGTTGAATATTAATGTTGTGCCTCGCGGTATACCCCTTTTACAAATTTCAATTAAACTCTAGTTACTGTCATGTAACGCCCTAAATACTTCCACAAAGTGTACCAAATTTGGTTGCTCCAAGTTCAAGAATAACGGAGATATTGATTTTTTTCAAAATTTATAACTTCACTTTCAAAGCCTATAACTCCTTAGGGAAGCAACTTGGTATAGAGATTAAATTGCCATATTTTGGGACCCCCTACATGCCCCTGCTCTATGTCGGTTGTTATGTGAATCACCCTGTATTAAAATCAGAAAATTATCGACGTGAAATTTGAAGTTATTGAATATCTGTCAGTCTTATTCTGTGATTTGATTAAAAAAATTGCGAATTTAGTGCTTGTTTAGTAATTTTAGAGGAACCGCGAAGTGGAATGGAAGATAAAAGGACTTGCAGTTCTTTCTCGTAGACGGTGTTGTGTGCCTATTTTTTGCAACTAGCACATAATCCAACAACAGGGTATATATGCACAGGGTGTTTCGAAATTCGACCGATAACGCTCAACAGGTGATAGATCTCGTGATTTCATAATCACTGACATAGGAACATACGGTCTCCAAGTGTTCAGTTCTCGAGATACAGGGTGTTGAAGTTGAGAAATAAAAATAGTTTTTTCGCAATAACTCAAGAATGATTGAATACTTTGCATTCAAATCCGGTGTATGGTTTCATCTTTGGATGGATCATTTCACGACCTGAAAGTCACTTCGGACATTTCATCCCGTGGTGCGCTACAGGGAGTTGTGATAACTTTTTCTCCTATATTTTCTACGCCACTGATGAAATTTCGATTATTTTAAATTACTCAAATTCATTGTGCAATTCTGTTGAAAAAATGCATAACCGACAACTGAGCTATAATGAACAGTTTTCGAGATATTTCACCCAAAATAGAAGTTTGCATAGTAATTGTTTATCATTTTCAGTAGTAAAAAAATAACAAAAATATTTAGTTTTCTCTTTCTGCAAGAAATCGCTATTTCTGTTTAGCTACAGAAGGAGATCTGAAAAGTATCTAATCTACTCACCATAAAAATATTTTTTGGAATTTTCTACTACTCAAAATGAAGAAAAATTACTATGCAAACTCTCAAATATCTCTAAATTGTTTATTTTAACTCAGTTACGGTGATCCTC